AGTTGTGGTAGCACGAGTAGGTGCTCGAGGTGTTAAACGGTGATTTCGGGCAACCACAACATAGTTCTTAGCACGTTCAAGGACGAACGTATGTTTAAGTGGGAGAGAATGTAACGAACCGACCGGTCGTTTTGAGCTCTAGTATGTCATTCAGCAGTTTGAGGCCATGAGCAGCTTTACTTCATGTATTATGACTTGTGCATACGGTCGGAATTGAATTCCGGGAAGTTCGGAGTTGATTTGGAAAGAGAATTCTCATTTCGGAAGCTTTAAGTTGAAAGAATTGACTAAGATTGAATTTTAGAGTAAACGACCTCAGAATCGGGATCTGAAGGTTCCAGTAGGTTCGTATGGTGATTTCAGACTTGGGTGTATGCTCAGATCGGGTTTTGAAAGACCTAGGAACATTTCGGCACATATTGTGGAAGTTAGCATTTTGGAAGAATTTCATAAGTTTGGGTTGAAGTGCATTTCAATGTTATCGATATCCGTTTGGGATTCCGAGTCTGGGAATCGCACCGTATGGTGATTCTGGTGTTGGGAGCGCGATCGAAAATGAATTCAGAGGTCCGTGGGTCATTTTGGGGTTATTTGGCTAAAGATAAAAATTTGAAGGTTTTTGAGAAGTTTGACCGGCAGTGGACCTTTTGATATCGGGGTCGGATTCTAATTCCGGAAGTTGGAGTAGGTCCGTAATGGTAAATATGACTTGTGTACAAAATTTGAGGTCAATCGAACGTGATTTGATAGGTTTAAACACCGAAAGTAGAAGTTTGAAATTTTAGAGTTCGTTAAGCTTGAATTAGAGTGTGATTCATGGTTTTAGCGTTGTTTGATATGATTTGAGGCCTCGAGCAAGTCCGTAATGTGTTTTGGGACTAGTTGGCATGATTGGTTGGGGTCTTAGGGGGCCTCGGGTGGATTCCGGGAGGTTAACGGATCGAAAATGGAATTTTGGAAAGGGCTGAAGTTATTGGTTGCTGGTGTAACCGCACCTGCGAGACTAGGGTCGCAGGTGCGGAGCTGCAAAAGCGGCTGAAGGGGCGCAGATGCGGTTTTGACCAGAAGTGAAGAAACCGCAGATGCGGTCATGTAGCAACAGAAGCGGGACCGCACCTGCGGTGGTTGAGCCACAGAAGCGGAAACGGGGGCCTGGTGAGAAACCGCATGAGCGGTAGAAAGGTCGCACCTGCAGAACTGCAGAAGCGGTCAAGGGATCGCAGGTGCGGAAATGCTGGAGGTAGAGAGGTTCTTTTAAATCGGGGGTTGGGTTCATTTTAACCCCATTCCTTTCATTTGAGTCGATTTTGGAGCAACTTTGAGGTGTCATTTTCACCACCAAGCATGAGGTAAGTAATTTATGCTAGTTTTTAGTTAAATACATGATTATATACGGATTTGGACATGGAAATTGGTAGAAACTTGGGGTTTGATGGAAAACCTAGAAAAAATCGATATTCTTGGAATTTGACCATGATTTTGGGTATGAAATTAAGGGTAAATTATATATTTGAGTTCGTGGGCCCAAGAGCAATTTTGTCAACTTTTCGATCGGGGTTAGAAATTGTTATAAATCGGGTTGTAATGAGTAACTTGAACGTATATTAACGGATTTACATAATTATTGGCTAGTTTTGGAGCATTGTGCATCGATTCGAGTCTTCGAAAGAGTGTAGAATGCCGGTTATGGATCTTCGGAGCGAGGTGAGTCTCCTTTCTAACCTTGTTAGAGGGAATTGTCCCTATAGGTGAAATAATTGGTTATGTGCTCCTATTTGTGGGAGCTACGTACGCACGAGGTGATGAGAGTCCATGCGTAGCTACTATTATGCTATTGTCCGGGTAGTCTAGGACCCAAAAGAATGCTATACTTGGAATATCTATAACCTTATTGACAATTGATTGCTTAAATTCTATCGAATTGGTAAATGGATTTCTAAAAAGAATTAAACTTCATTTTTCTAAATTGTTAAAAGAGAATTGGTTTTCTTTGGATAATTGTTTCTTGATGACTTCTTGATTGATTGTCTGTGCGTGTTTAAATTCTGGAACGGGCTGAATGCCTTGGCAGATTAAATAGATGCATCTATGGTTCGTGCCATTTGACCCTCTGGCAGTACAAAGTATAAATATTGTTGGATCGGGTCGTATGACCTCGGCATGATTTGCGCATGCTTGTATTGCTTGCCTTGAAACTTATTGAAGTTGTTATTGCCTCTTCCCGGTTTGAGAATATTTGTATAAACGATGAAAAGGAATTTGGAAATTTTCTATAAAAGAAAAATTTTCTTACCTGCTTCATTCCATTGAACTACAATCATGTTTATAAAAATTACCGAGTTTCAAAATTATTAAAACGAGAATTTAATTAAGTATTTTGGTTGGTTTGCCTGACAGCGGTGTCCGGCGCCATCACGATCCTTAGTAGATTTTGGATCGTGACACATACAGTAACAACCTAGGGATTGAACGTTCTCGCTAAGGTTTGTTTCACCACCACTTAAGGTTGCACGAGGAGTGGCTCTGATACCATATTTGTCACGACCCAAACCAATGACACGTATTGTCCACTTTGGGCCTAGACCCGCACAGATTTATCTTTTTAGACTACGCCACCTCAAGCCCTGAATGCGCATATCAAGTGAACTTGTGTCATGCCTTATAAAACTCTTCATTTTCATCTCTCATTTCGATATGGGATTTGCCTAAGGTGACATATGCACCCCTTCTTCAGAAACTTGCTAGCCTAAAAGCTTGCCAGTCTTTCTTGACCCACTCTCCGTTATGGGCATCACATTCACCCCCCTCGGGACTCAGTGTCCTTGCTGAGGTTTTTCCCTCATCGTACTGAGGAAGATTCAACTCCGAAACCATATGTAACAGCCTATCCCACTAGTGATATTATCCGCTTTGGACCTAGGCCTGCACGACTTTAAAATACGTCACTAAAGTCTAAAACATGTCTATTTACATATCCAACATCTCTCTTGTATTTTGTCGATGCGAGATTCGCCTAGGATATCATAACATATGATAATTTTATTATCTTAGTAGGTGTCATGTCACCCTATCCTAAAGGAATGGATCCACCCCAGGCTCTGCCACTCCTATCTTGGATTCAATCAGCTAAACTCTACAAATATTTCACACATAAAATTAATTACGTAGTTTATTTGCTTTTTTATTTTTATAAGAGCATCTCCAACGCTATTGCATTTCTCAAAAATGCAGACAGTTTTTGCCAAAATGTGCCTCCAATGCTTCCTCATTTTTGGCTGCAAAATGGGAGATGAATAGTGTTGCTCCGAATTTGGAGTGACACTATTCATCCCCTCTATTACTATTCATCTTTGCTTTATTATTATTTTTATTATTTAACTTTTTAAATTTATATATATCTAATTATGTTTATGTAATATCTTTATAATATTAATTTTACATCTTAACTTTAACATATAATTTTGATAAATTAATTTTCGTGCATTTATTATTTTTGTATAAAATTATAAGTTAATTTTGTTATAAGTTATAACTGTACAAAAAATATATAATCATCTCAAAAAATAAATGGTGCAAATATAAAATATAGATGTTGCTAAAATTGAAAGGTACGAATATAAAATATTAGATGTTGCTAAAATTGAAAATACATCAAAATTAGATATATATTAAAATTGAAAATATATTAAATTAAAATATATAAAAATTAAAACTACGGTAAATAGTATAATAACAAAGTAGGGGCCTATGTCGTTTCCAGATACACCAAAATCGTTATTAATGTAATATGTATTTAATTATCTTGTATCTCAATGATTTCACTTTTATTTGGATTATCCGTTAATATATATAATCTACAATATTTGCTTACAAATTGGAGTATATTATTTAAAAATTCACGGTATAAAATAATTTTTCACTAAATTATATGTGATGAATATGTAAAAAAGAAAAAAAAAGATAGAATTTCTTTAACAGAAATAAGAAAATAAAATTTAAATAATAGATAATAATATAATATTGAAGAGAGAGAAGAATATAAAATGGAATATTCTTTTTTGGAGTAAAAAATGAAGTAATGGTTGGAGTAATTTTACTCTATGTTGGAGGAGAAAATAAGGGTTGGAGATGGCCTCAATTAAACTCTATAAATATTTCGCACATAAATTATCAGATTTACGCAGTTCAATTTCTTTTCATTTTTTTTTTCTTCATATTTTCAACTCGTATTTTCATTTTCGAAAAGAGAACTTTACACAAATAGAAAGCTATATTTACTGTTTACTTTTTCTAGTTATATATATAGATTATACATTAATTATATACAGTTATATATATAATATATAAATTATGCATGTATTATAAATTATGCATATATTATAAATTATGAGTATATAAATTATGCATATTCCGAGGTTCTACTAGCGGGAGTTGGTACCTCCCGTTTTTTCTGTTTATCATTGTTGTGTTAGTTAAATAAATTGTTGTCATCTTACTTCGTATTAGTTATTCACCGTATTAGTGTTCCTGTAGTTGCAACTTATTTTTTCCTAGTTTGGTTTGTTGCCTTGTGTGTGCTAGTGATCCCTTTTAATCTGTTGTAGGTATAGTAGTTGTGGTTTAGGATAGTCGAGTGAGGTCATGTCCTCAGGAGGAGCGTGGAGTGGGGCGTGGGGTAGGGCCGCGGGGTTAGGGGTGGGACAGGACAGGAGGCAATAGAGGTAAAGGAAACAAGGTTGTCTATAGGTTGAGAATTGAGTCATGGAACGTAGGTAGATTGACGAGTAAATCTATAGAGTTGGCGAAGATCCTCCAGAAGAGGAGGGTCAATATAGCTTGTGTCTAGGAGACAAGGTGGGTAGGGTCGAGGGTGAAGGACGCAGACGGGTATAAACTTTGGTACTCAAGAGTCCAGAGAGGTAAGAATGGAGTGAGTATCTTGGTGGAAAGGGAACTTAGAGATTCTGTGGTTGAGGTTAGACGAGTGAATGATAGATTGAATGACTATTAAGTTGGTGGTTCGAGAGTATACCTTAAATGTCGTTAGCGCCTATGCGCCGCATGCGGGCCGAAATGAGGAGGTTAAACGGCATTTCTGGGAGGGTTTAGATGAAATTGTGCGCCATGTTCCTCCTGCTGAGAAGCTACATGGTCATATTGGGTTGATCTCTGGTGGTTATGGCGGAGTGCATAGAGGCTTCAGTTCTGGGGAGAGGAACAGAGGAGGTACCTCGCTGTTGGACTTCGCTAAGGTTTTTAGGTTGGTGATTGCAAACTCTAGCTTTCCAAAGAGGGAGGAGCATTTGGTTACTTTTCAAAATGTGATGGCGAAGTCTCAGATTGATTATCTCCTCCTTAGGAGGTCAAGGCTGTGTAAGGATTGCAAGGTGATTCCGGGTGAGAAACTCGCGACGCAGCATAGGCTCTTGGTAATGGACGTGGGTATTATGTTAAAGAGAAGGAAAAGGTCTGCTCGAGGAAGACCAAGAATCAGGTGGGGAGCCTTAACTAGGGATAAAGCCCAAGAGCTGAAGGGGCAGTTGTCGACTATGGGATCTTGGAGGAGCAGTGAAGACGCGAGCACTAGGTGGTCAGTGACAGCAAACTGTATAAGGGAGGCTCCGAGAGAAGTGTTAGAGGTCACGACGGGCATCTCTGGTAGGCACAAAGGAGATTGGTGATGGAATGAAATGGTCCAAGGTAAAGTGGAAGCTAATAAGGCGGCGTACCTGAAGTTAGTGGGGAACATAGGTGAGGAGGAGAGGCGAGAGTGCATAAAGAGGTATAAGGTAGCCAGGAAGGAATCTAAGCTGGCGGTCACGGAGGCTAAGACCGCGGCGTATGGTCGTATGTATGAGGAATTGGGGGGAAAGGCGGGGAGAAGAAGTTATTTCGGCTGGCCAAGTTGAGAGAGATGAAGGATCGGGATTTGGACCAAGTGAGATGCATCAAGGACGAAGATGGTAGAGTATTGATGGAAGATACCCAGATTAAGAGGAGATGACAGACTTACTTTCAGAAACTCCTGAATGAAGAAGGGGAACGGGATATTGCGCTAGGCAAATTGGAGCATTCCGAGAGTCACCGTGACTCTAGGTACTGTAGGCGTATCAAGGTTGAGGAGTTCGTGAGAGCTATGCATAAGATGAGTAGGGGTAGAGCGATCGGACCAGACGAGATTTCGGTGGAATTTTAGAAGTGTGTGGGGAGAGCAGGTTTGGAGTGGCTGACTAGGTTGTTTAATGTTATTTTTAAGGAGAAGGATATGCTAGTTGAGTGGAGGTGGAATACGATAGTTGCATTGTATAAAAATAAAGGTGATATCCAGAGTTGTAACAATTATAGGGGTATCAAATTACTGAGTCATACCATGAAAGTGTGAGAGATGGTAGTTGAAGCGAGGGTGAGGATGACAATGTCTGTATCCGCTAACCAGTTCGGGTTCATACCAGGTCGTTCAACTGGGGAAGCTATACACCTTGTTAGGCGGTTGGTGGAACTGTATATAGAGAGAATGAAGGATCTGCACATGGTGTTTATTGACCTAGAGAAAACGTATGACAAGGTTCCTAGAGAAGTTCTCTAGAGATGCTTAGAGGAGAAATGTGTGTTGGTTCCTTACATTATGTCGATTAAGGACATGTATGCTGGGGCAAAGACTCGAGTTAGGACAGTAGGAGGCGATTTTGATCATTTTCTGGTTGAAATGGGATTACACCAAGGTTCTGCCCCTCAGTCCGTTTTTGTTCGCCCTGGTGATGGACGCGTTAACACACCATATTTAAAAGGAGGTGCCATGGTGCATGCTATTCGCCGATGACATAGTTCTGATTGATGAGTCGCGAGCCGGTGTTAACGATAGGTTGGAGGTTTGGAGACATGCTCTTGAGTTTAAGGGTTTCAAGTTGAGCAGGACGAAGACGGAGTACCTGGAGTGTAAGTTCAACACTGAGCCGGGGAAGTGGACGTGGATGTGAGGCTTGAATCACAGGTCATCCCAAGTAGAGGTAGCTTCAAGTACCTTGGATCGGTTATCCAGAGGGGAGGGGAGATCGATGAGGATGTTACACATCGTATTAGTGTAGGATGGATGAAGTGGAGGTTGGCATCTGGAGTCTTGTGTGATAAGAGAGTGCCACCGTTACTCAAAGGTAAGTTCTATAAAGCGGTTGTTAGACCGGCCATGATGTATGGGTCCTGAGTGTTGGTTTGTATTCGGGAGAAGGTGCATGTGGCTCCCATTGATGACAAGATGCGGGAAGCGAGACTCAAATGATTCGGGCATGTTTAGAGGAGAAGCCCAGATGCGTCGGTAAGGAGATGTGAGCAGCTAGTTGTGGAGGGCACGAGAAGAGGTAGATGGCGGCCTAAGAAATATTGGGGAGAGGTGATCGGGCAGGATATGACGAGGCTTCAGATTTCCGAGGACATGACACTGGATAGGGAGATGTGGAGGTCGAGTATTAAGGTTGTAGGGTAGGAGGTAGTTTGAGTCTTTCCTTATTTTGTACCATTGCGAGACCAGTCTGGTAGGGTTTTTGTATAAGATAGTTAGTGACAATGTTGTGTCTTACTATTTCACTTTTTAGTGCATGAACTATTTACTAGCTATCGCTTTTGCTTTGCATCTTTCTTCTGAATTTCATGTTGTTCCTGTTTTTCATATGATTTCTTTGCTGATACTAATATTGTCTTCTTTTGTCTTTTTATTTTCTTGAGCCGAGGGTCTTTCAGAAATAGTCTCTCTACTCCTTCGGGGTAGAGGTAAGGTCTGCGTACACACCATCCTCACCAGACCCCAGTAGTAGAATTTTACTGATTATTGTTGTTATCTCATATAATATATATTTATCTGCTATTTTTAGTTTAAGCGGTTAGATGACGGCTATCAGGGTTAATTGTTCTTTCCAAAATGAGTTACGTACATTCTAACACACCCTTTTAAGAAGGTCCCACTAAAAAGGGTTGGTGATACATTTGAACAATTGATGTGCAAATGTGAGTACTCCAAACATCGGTCATCAAATGTTCAAATTTTTTGCTCAGTCTCGTCTCGGGCAGTGCAAAGATTTGTCCTTTTTCCAACAAAAAGATTTCCCCATTCGCATATTTGTAGCTGTCACTTACACACACTCCTCCTTTAACATAATTTTACACGCATCCAGCAATATATATCTAGCGAGTACACAAAATTTAACTCACGAGAGCGTAGTCCACAATTTGAACTCTACTGCTGTCTGAACAACGGCTCTCTCTCTTCTATTACACAACTTTCTATACTACTTTCAAAGTAAAGTCTTCTCCTTTTCAAAATACACCCCACCCCACCCCACCCTCGTCTTTCTCACTTCGTGCTTGACATTTCATTATTATGGATTTTCCATTTGTAAGAACTTTAATCATCTTAATTACTTCTACCCTAACCCCACCATTTTTTTCATTATAGCTTTACTCTTTCAAGATCTGTCTTGATTGGTAAACTTGCTACTACTCCACTATACAGTTGACACTTAGTCCTGAACTCAGGGACTATTAGACTACTCTTCCGAAGTCAAAAACTAAGCTCAAATCTGCATTTTTAATCAAGAAATCAAAATGGGTCTGCGGATTTTGATCTTTTTTGCTCTATTTGCGACGACCATTTTCAGTAAAAGCTCTCTTTCGCTCACCCCAGATGGTAAGGTTATTAGCTTGTGGGCATTATATTAGGTTTTTTTCCTCATTGTATGTTGTTCTTGAGCTATAAAGGTCATAACTTTGATTCTTGTTCTCTGTTTCCTTTTAGGTTTTTCTTTGTTGGAAATGAGAACCGTTTTGAATGACACCAAAAATGTTTTGAGCAATTGGAATTATTCAGATGAGTCACCTTGTGGGTGGACTGGCATTTCTTGTCACCCCAATGACCAAAGAGTTCAATCTATGTATGCCCACTTCTCTTTTTATTTCCACTATCAGCGCTTTCTTCACTCGTTTTGCTTTGGTTGCTTGGATTCATTACAGCTGTTTATTTTTATTTTTGGATTTTTCAGCAACTTACCTTATATGCAACTCGGAGGAATTATAGCTCCCAGCATAGGAAAACTCACCAGACTGCAGAGATTGTAAGTCCCGTAGCCTTTCTCCTTTCCACTTATTGGGGGCAATGCAACAAAACTTATCTATGTTAGTGCATTGTTTCTTTGTGTGGACTCTTGCTAATTCTAGATAAAGTTGAAGTTTATCTCTTGTGGTTACTTTGGTAATGTGTTCTTTCCCTAAAACCAGGGCACTTCACGAAAACAGTCTGCATGGTGTGATTCCTAATGAGATTGGCAATTGCTCTGAACTCAGAGCTATGTAAGTTGGAGTTTCTTATAACTGAGTAATAACATATTTTCTTGGAGATTCCCGTGTTTCTTGATGAAGTTGTCATAAGCTAGGCATTGTTTATGCATACAGATACCTCAGGGCAAACTATCTTCAAGGAGGCATACCATCAGATATTGGAAATCTTTCAATGCTAACCATATTGTAAGGTTTAAAAATGTTTTAATTCATCATTTGATTATATGTTTGATTAGGTTGTTTTATTGATTGCTGCCTTTTAATCTTTATTAGAGACTTATCGAGCAATTCACTTAGGGGTGCCATACCTTCTTCTCTTGGTCGTCTCAGACACCTTCATCATCTGTAAGTCCAATTCCCTTTCATCATAATTTCTTAACTCAGCAAGTTAATGCCTTTACACTAATGTATTAAAATTGCAAATCAATTTAGCAACTTGTCAACCAATTTCTTCTCGGGTGAGATTCCTGATGTTGGAGTTCTGAGCACTTTCGGGAACAAGTCGTAAGTCCTCATACCTTTGGAATTTAATCCCACATTTGATATCGCCTGATGAGTTCAAATATTTTTCTTTTAGGCTGCAAATAAATTTAGATAGATGTTTCAAAACTCAGAGAGTACAAAATATACCTTGAATACTGCTTCCTATAATATAGCTTAGGATCTCTCATAAACAGCCTTTCTACCCCTCTGGGTAGGGGGTAAGGCCTGCGTATATCCTACCCTCCCCATGCCCCACTTGTGAGATTCTACTGGGTGGTTGTTGTTGTTGCTTCCTATAATATGTATAGAAGTGAAGATAATTTTTCACCATCTACTTGGCACCACAATCACATTTTAAGAAATAAATTACTAGATGAATCAGGTACTTGCTCACCAGGTACATTGTAGTAAATGTTGGTTGCTACATTGGTTAGGTTTGTGGCGGTGTTACAATGATATCTAGTAATTATAAACTAAGAAGAGTACCCGTCGAAAGATCAGCGAATTAGAATCACCAACACAAGCTTGTTTCCGGAAACAACTGTTTAATTGGAGTCTCGTGAACTGGATTGCCGTTTACTTTTATTCTTTATAATCTTAGGAGAGATGAATGACATTTTCACTGTTTAATTCTGCCATTAATGGCTATCTTATAGAAGACTATTCTGATGAGGATAATGCTTATGCTTAGGTTTATTGGCAACTTAGATCTCTGTGGCCAACAAGTCGTCAAGCTTTGCAGAACATCAATGGGATTCCCTGTAGTATTGCCTCATGCTGAAAGTGATGAGGCTGCAGGTTGTTATTTGCTGCTTTATTGCTACTTCATTTTAGATGTTCACTGGCTTTGGAACTTACCTTTCCTGAACTGAGTAGATTCTGCTTCTTCTCCTTTACTTCTCAGTAGAAAGTCTGATTTATTGCAAAATTAATGTGGTTTCTGTGCAGTCCCTACTAAGCGATCCTCTCACTATGTTAGAGCAGCAGTTATTGGTGCAATATCTACATTGGGTTTCGTACTCATAGTGCTCTTTATTTTTCTCTGGGTTTGGTTGTTGTCTAAGAAGGAAAGGGCAGCGAAAAAATACACAGAAGTCAAGAAACAAGTTTACAAAGAGCCAAGTAAGAGGGTGAATAGTACAATTAAAATTTGCTTTTTCCTTCTCCATACTTTTGTCTTAATTTGCGAAGTCTTCAGGTGCCAAGCTTATTACTTTCCATGGTGATCTTCCTTATCCTTCATGTGAGCTAATAGAGAAGATTGAATCCCTTGATGAGGAAGATGTTGTTGGGGCAGGAGGGTTTGGTACTGTGTATCGGATGGTTATGAATGATTGTGGAACATTTGCTGTTAAAAGAATAGACCGGAGTCGTGAAGGCTCTGATCAA